TTTCCAGACTTTTTCCTGTGGTTGATTTCAAGCTTCATAGCATTGTGGTCTGAAAGTATGCATGGTATGATTTCAATTCTTGTAAACTTATGAAGGGCTGTTTTGTGACCCAGTATATGATCTATCTTGGAGAATGTTCCATGTGCCCTCGATAAGAAAGTATATTCTGTTGCTTTGGGATGCAGAGTTCTAAATATATCTGTCAAGTCCATCTGATCCAATGTGTCATTCATGGCCCTTGTTTCTTTACTGACCGTGTGTCTAGATGATCTATCCATTTATGTAAGTGGAGTGTTAAAATCCCCTGCAATTACCACATTCTTATCAATAAGGTTGCTTATGTTTATGACTAATTGTTTTATATATTTGAGGGCTCCGGTATTCGGCGCATAGACATTTATAATTGTTAGCTCTTCCTGGTCGATAGACCCTGTAATTATTATATAATGCCCTTCTTCATCTCTTGTTACAGCCTTTAATTTAAAGTCTAGTTTGTCTGATATAAGTATGGCTCCTCCAGCTTTCTTTTGGCTTCCAGTAGCATGATAAATAGTTCTCCATCCCCTCACTCTCAATCTGAAGGTGTCCTCAGATCTAAAATGAGTCTCTTGTAGACAGCAAATAGATGGGTCTTGTTTTTTTTATCCATTCTGATACCCTATGTCTTTTGGTTGGAGCATTTAGTCCATTTACATTCAGTGTTATTATAGAAAGATACGGATTTAGACGAGATTGGGCGCGTTCAGGGTGGTATGGCCGTAGACCGAAAGATACGGATTTAGAGTCATTGTGATGTCTGTGTGATTTATGCTTGTAGCGATGTCTCTGGTACTTTGTCTCACAGGATCCCCCTTTGGATCTCTTGTAGGGCTGGTTTAGTGGTGACAAATTCCTTCAGTTTTTGTTTATTTGGGAAGACCTTTATCTCTCCTTCTATTCTAAATGACAGGCTTGCTGGATAAAGGATTCTCGGCTGCATATTTTTTTCTGTTCATCACATTGTAGATCTCCTGCCAATCCTTTCTGGCCTGACAAGTTTCAAAAGAGAGATCAGTCACGAGTCTTATAGGTCTCCCTTTATATGTTAGGGCCCGTTTATCCCTTGCTGCTTTCAGAATTTTCTCTTTATCCTTGTATTTTGCCAGTTTCACTATGATATGTCGTGCAGATCGATTCAAGTTAAGTCTGAAGAGAGTTCTCTGTGCCTCTTGCATTTCAATGCCTTTTTCCTTCCCCACTTCAGGGAAGTTCTCAGCTATTATTTCTTCAAGTACTCCTTCAGCACCTTTCCCTCTCTCTTCCTCCTCTGGGATACCAGTTATGCGTATATTATTTCTTTTCAGTGTATCACTTAGTTCTCTAATTTTCCCCTCATACTCCTGGATTTTTTTTTTATCTCGCTTTTTCTCAGCTTCCTCTTTTTCCATAACTTTATCTTCTAGTTCACCTATTTCTCCTCTGCCTCTTCAGTCCGAGCCGTGGTGGTTTCCATTTTGTTATGCATTTCGTTTAAAGCGTTTTTCAGCTCCTCGTGACTGTTCCTTAGTCCCTTGATCTCTGTAGCAAGAGATTCTCTGCTGTCCTCTATACTGTTTTCAAGCCCAGCGATTAATTTTATGACTATTTTTCTAAATTCACTTTCTGTTATATTATTTAAATCCTTTTTGATCAGTTCATTGGCTGTTGTTATTTCCTGGAGATTCTTCTGAGGGGAATTCTTCCGTTTGGTCATTTGGATAGTCCCTGGCGTGGTGAGGACCTGCAGGGCACTTCCCCTGTGCTGTGGTGTATAACTGGAGTTGGTGGGTGGGGCCACAGTCATATCTAATGTCTGCCCCCAGCCCACCGCTGGGGCCACAGTCAGACTGGTGTGTGCCTTCTCTTCCCCTCTCTTAGGGGTGGGATTCACTGTGGGGTGGCGTGGCCTGTCTAGGCCACTTGCGCACTGCCAGGCTTGTGGTGTTGGGGATCTGGCATATTAGCTGGGGTGGGTAGGCAAGGTGCATGGGGCAGGAGGGGCAGGCTTAGCTCACTTCTTCTTAGGTGAACCACTTCAGGAGGGGCCCTGTGGCAGTGGTAGGGAGTCAGACCCGCTGCCGGAGGGATGGCTCCGCAGAAGCACAGCGTTGGGTATTTGCACGGAGTAAGCAAGTTCCCTGGCAGGAACTGGTTCCCTTTGGGATTTTGGCTGGGGGATGGGTGAGGGAGATGGTGCTGGCGAGCGCCTTTGTTTCCTGCCAAATAGCTCTGTGGTCTGGGGGCTCAGCAACTTTCCCTCCCTTTGTCCTCCAGCCTTCCTGCTGTCCAAGTAGAGCTGTTAACTTATGACCTCCCAGATGCTAAGTCACGCTTGCTGTCGGAACACAGTCCGTCCCGCCCGGCCCCTCCGCTTTTGCAAGCCAGACTGGGGCCTCTGCTTGGCCGGCAGGCCGCCCCTCCGCCCCGGCTCCCTCCTGCCAATCCGTGGAGCGTGCACCCCCTCTCCGCCCTTCCTACCCTCTTCCATGTGCCTCTCGTCTGCGCTTGGCTCCGGAGACTCCATTCTGCTAGTCTTCTGGTGGTTTTCTGGGTTAGTTAGGCAGGTGTAGGTGGACTCTAAGTGATCAGCAGGACGCGTGGTGTGCCCAGCGTCCTCTTACACTGCCATCTGTATCCAGTTTTCTTTTGATACTCATTTGTGTGATGATTTTTTTCTCCATCCCCTCACTTTCAATCTGCAGGTGACTTTATGTCTAAAATGAGTCTCTTGTAGGCAGCATATAGATAGGTCTTGTTTTATTTTCTTTATTTTTTAATCCCTTCAGACACCCTATGTCTTTGATTGGAGCATTTAGTCCATTTACATTCAGAGTAATTACTGATAGATATGTATTTAGTACCATTTTATTACCTCTATTGTCATTGTTTTTGGAGATTTTATCTGACCCTTTCTTGTGTTTGTCACTTTTAATCTCTCCCTTCCACTTAGAGTCCCCTTTAATATTTCATGAGGGGATGGTTTAGTGGTCACAAACTGCTTTAGTTTTTGTCTAGGGAAATCTATTTCTCCTTCTCTTTTGAATGATAGTCTTGTTGGATAAAGTATTCTTGGCTGCAGAATTTTCCCATTTGGCACTTTGAATATATCATGCAGCTCCTTTCTAGCTTGCTAAGTTTCTGTGGAGAAATCTGCAGCTAGCCTTATGCATCTTCCCCTTTAAGTGAAGGAGTTATTTTGTCTTTTAAGATATTTTATTTATATTTTTTGAATTTAAATTAAAGACAGTCTGTCTTGGTGTTGGCCTACTTTTGTTGGTTTTGATGGTAGTTTTCTGTCCTTGCTGGATCTGGGTATCTATTTTCTTCCCCTGATTAAGGAAGTTTTCAATTATTTCCTCGAATAAATTTTCTCTCTCTTCTTCTGGGATTCCTGTAAAATGAATGTTATTACACTTGTGGATTAATTGAGTTCCTTAAGGTTATTCTCTTGTTTTAAAATTCTTCTCTCTGTCTTTTGTTCAGATTCATTATTTTGTCTTCTAGGTAATTAATTAATTCCTGTTTCTTCCTGCCTGCTGTTCATTGCATCAAGCCTGTTTCCAATCTTGTTTATTGCATTTTACATATCTGGTTAATTCCTTTTAAATTATTTTATCTCTGTGGTAAGACTCTCACTTATGACTTCTATTCTTTTCTCAAGCCCAGTCAGTACCCTTATGATTGTTGCTTTACCTTTTTACTTATTTATTTTTGAGAGAGAGAGAGAGAGAGAGAGAGAGAGAGAGAGAGAGAGAATGAGCAGAGGAAGGGCACAGAGAGGGAGAAAGAGAATCCCAATCAGGCTCTACACCATCGGCACAGATCCTGTCACAGGGCTAGAACTCACAAACCATGAGATCATGACCTCAGCCAAAATCAAGAATTGGACACTTAACTGACTGAGCCATGTAGCCATCCCAAGACTGTTGCTTTAAGTGCCCCATCAGGCATATTACGTTTCTGTTTTGCTTAGACCTCTGGCCTTGGCCTTATCTTGTTCTTTCATTAGGGATAAATTCTGTCTTGGCATTTTATCAAAGTCTGTACCGTATTGTGTGTGTTAGAAAAGCCAGTTATGTCTCCTGCTCCTGAAAGTAATGTCCTTATGAAGGGATCATATAGTTCCCAGGTCCTGGGGCTTCAGACTATATTTCCAGTGTGTGGTATGTTTGCTGTGTATGTGTTTTGGCTCTTCTATCCTTCAGGCTAGTCATCTTGCAGAGGTTCTTGCCCACTGTGGGCAGTGTTTCATCCCTGGCCTGAATGTCTTGAGTTTTAATGAGTGTGCTCTGGTCCATTTGTGAAATGAGTCCTGACACCACTTCCACCAAAACTGTGGTGCTGCATATCTCTCTGGTTGAGAGATATAGTGTGGGCAGGAGTTTTTGCTGATCTTCTCAGAGGAGGGACCCATCCCTCTGGGACTGATGCAAGATTGATTCTCTGGAAGTCAAGTCAGAGTACTGGGAGGCAGTGAGCCTTGGTGTAAGCTCATGAGGAAGCCAGTGTGTCACCGCACTGCTTCTTGTAGGTGGGCTGTTTTTGCTGAGATGCATGGGAGGGATATGACGCTAGCCAGCTCATTTGTTCCCAGAGAGGCATCTCCATGAATGCTGTCTCTCAGGTACATGCTCTGATAAGAGTGAATAGTCACTCCACCGCGCACCCCAAACAGTGCCCAGGCATTTTTCAGATCGCTGTTTCCAACCTATCTTCCCCTAGTATGTCTGCCTGCCTTCTCCCCAGGAAGAGTGCAGTGTCTGGCTCTATCCCAGCCAAGCCCACTTACCTTGAAAACTCCAGGCTTTAATTCCCACTGGTAACAAGAATTCTCAATATTCAGCCCCTCTCATTTCCAAACCAATGGCTTTGGGGAAACATTTTCCTATGTGCTCCTCTCTCTCTAGACCTTCTCTGTGACCATATTTCCCTCTCTTCCACAGCACCTGTGATCTATTCCTCCCCTAAACTATGTCTCTGCACTTCATACCTTTGTTAATGTGGCCTCTTGTCTCCCTTAGTTGTGGAATTTGTTCTGTCATTCTTTAGGTCAATTTCTGGGGTTTGGGATGATTTGATAGTTGTTTAGTTGTGTTCATGGGATAAGGCCAGCTGAGGGTCCTCTTACTCCACCACCAACTTTCAAAGTCTCTTTCAACTGGTTCCTAATGAACAAAGGATGACCAAAGATTAAATGGACTTAGGTTGATCAAATAAAGGAAGAATAACTCTTATTTTATTGAACAATTGATGAGTTTGACAAATATTCTTCACTTGACGAAACCTTAGTCAGGCTCCTGAAATTTCTAATAGGCTATATGTGTATTTCTTTATAAACCCTTAGTAAGAAACACGTGAAGTCAATTTGACAAGCATTCCTAATTGAACATGTTTGATCACCCTTGGCACACGCGCATGCACACACACACACACACACACACAATTTTCTCATCCTTTACCATTTGCCAGGTGACTGACAGATGGTGACTGATAAACCTGGCTTGGATTCCCTGTTAGGTCATTTAACCCAGATACCCCCTTACCCTTGCTCTTACTTATTATAAATTTTCTAAGCCTTGACTGCCACTAGGCTCCTTGGCTATAAATTCCTACTTACTCATGCTGTATATAGGTTTTAACAAGATTCCTTACTGAAGTTCTTGTTTCTCTATTACAATATTCCTGAACAAATATGCTTTCACTGCTTCAACTAATGTCCAGCTATGAGTTCTCTCACCTTATATTCAATCATCCCAGCCAGCCAAGTAAATTTCTTTCTTACCTACGGATTCAGAGGCATGGGAAGCTTAATGTGACCATGTAGCAGTTTTAAATTCCATTTAGGGGAATAATTATTTTGCATCTTATTGGAAGCATTTTTTACTCTGGAACTAAGAATTCTTTGTCAGAAGAGTATAATATTATAGAAACAGGAAGCAAAACTGTTGGTAGTAGGCACTACTGGTAATAGTAAGTGGTGCCTTTTCTCATTTCCACCCATCAATTCCTGAACCCATGAATCCTAGCTATTAGAGAAACAATACCATATACTAAATGCTGATTAAGGGCATATACAGCCTCCTGGAAAACTGCCACAGTACTGCAACATATTGCCACCTGGCTGGCATTTTAACTGAGTCTTCAAATGTCCTCTCATCATTCTATCAAGCCATCTGCTTCAGGATGCCAGAAGGATGGTAAGACTACGAATTCTATGAGCATGGTCCCATTGACACATTTCTTCTGTTGTGAAGAAAGTTCCTTTATCTGAAGTTTAGTGAAATATTCTTTTTTTTTTTTTTTAATTTTTTTTTCAACGTTTATTTATTTTTGGGACAGAGAGAGACAGAGCATGAACGGGGCAGGGGCAGAGAGAGAGAGGGAGACACAGAATCGGAAACAGGCTCCAGGCTCTGAGCCATCAGCCCAGAGCCCGACGTGGGGCTCGAACTCATGGACCGCGAGATCGTGACCTGGCTGAAGTCGGACGCTCAACCGACTGCGCCACCCAGGCGCCCCTTAGTGAAATATTCTGACAGTGGTTTAGGCATCCTTAAACTCATGAATGATAGTTATGGCAGTAGCATTGCATGGAAGCAGGGCAAATCTGTATCAAATTTAAGAATCTATTCTAGTTAAGACAAAAGACAGTCCCTCCCATTATAAAAGGAATCCACTACAGTCAATTTGCTACCCAGTAGTTAGATGGACATCCCGTGGAATGGTGCCATATAAGGGACTCAGTGTTACTGTCAGCTGCTGTTAGATTAGGCACACAGCCTTTATGAGTGGAAATCATTGTTGATGACCTATGTATAACATCCATCTCTGCCACCATGGCTACTTTGTTCATAAGTCCATTGGGTTATAATAGGAGTGACTGTGAAAGGAAGATGACTGGTATCCACAGCATTTATGATTTAATTATTAAAGCCCCCCTCTACTAAGGTCACCCTTTTGTTGGCATTCACATGAGATGCAAATATCTTCATATTTTGGCCTACTGAGAGGGGGTTGCCCACATACTTTTCCAATATTTTATTGTCACCAAGTTTTCAATTGCGTTACCTTCAAGTCCCTTACTCTAACTAAAATATTGGCCACAGCGAATGAAACAATACATAATCCCACATCTAGCCATTTATCCTTCTAAACTAAGTTAACAGCCACGTGCACTGTCAAAAATACAAAAACTTTTTAGTTAAATTTTGTCCACTTGATAATTTTTGCTTTTGTTACCTTTGTTTTGCCATCAAATAAAAAAAAAAAGTCAGTAAGACTGATGTCTATGTCTTTTCTTTTTCTAGGAGTTTTGTATTTTCAGGTCTTTCATTTAAATCTTTAGTCAGTCTTGAGATGACTTTTGTGTATGGTGTAACATAGTGGTCCAGTTTCATTCTTTTCCATGTGGCCTTACAATTTTTCCAACAACACTTATTGAAGAAACCTCCTTTTCACATTGTATATTTTTGTTTCCTTTATCATCAATTAACAACATATGGATGCTTATTACTGTTCTCTCTTTTCTTTTCCATTGATTTTTGTGTCTGTTTTTATACAAATACCATCAAATTTTGACAATTATAACTTTACAATATAGTTTAAAATCAGAAAGTGTGACACTGACAACTTATTCTTTCTCAACTGTTTTGAATATTTGGGGTCTTGTTTGCTCCCTTACAAAATATAGTATTATTTTTCTACTTCTGTGAATAATGCTATTGAAATTTTGAATGGGATTGTACTGAATCCATAGATAGCTTTGGGTAATATAGACATTTTAACAGTATAAGTTCTTCTAGTACATTATGAGCACATTAGGTCTTTCCATTTATTTGTGTCTTATTAAGATCTGTACATCAATGTCTTACAGTTTTTATTGTACAGGTTTTTAACCTCTGGTTAAATTTATTTCAGGATATTTTATTCTTTCTGATGAAATTGTAAATGAGATTATTTTCTTATTTCCTTTTTCTGATCGGTCATTATTACTGTACAGAAACACAACTGATTTTTGTATCTTCATTTCATTTACTGCAACTTTACCAAATTTGTTTAGTAGTTTTAAGTGTCTTTTGGTGGAGTCTTTAGAGTTTTCTATACATAAAATTATGTATCTGTATATAGTGACAGTTTTACTTTTACCTTCATATTTGAATGGCTTTTATTTCTTTTTTCTGCTTAATTATTCTGGCTAAGATTTCAAATATTATGTTGAACAAAAATGTAAGAGTGGGAACCCAATCTTGTTCCTTATTTTAGAGAAAAAATTCAGTTTTCACAATTTGGTATAATGTTTGCTGTGGGCTTGTGATATATTGCCTCTGTTATGTTGAGATAGGTTTCCTCCATACCCACTTTCTTGAGAGTTTTTTTTAATTATACATAGATGTTAAATTTTATCAATGTTTATGCATATAATGAGTAAATCCTATATTTTTATATTTTACTTAATGTGGTATATCCACATCAATTCATTTGTATGTGTTGAAACATGCTTGCATCTCTGGAATGAATCCCACTTGACATGGGTCAGTAGTTTTATGTATCAATCCCTTTCTTCAATGGTTCATAAAATTCTTAATCAGTCCAGAGGCATAGACTGAAAATTACTTAAATATTATCATCATAGAGTATTCTTATCTTTAGCTAATTGCAAATAAGAACCAATGAGTGAGAAATGGCTTTAAAAGGCTATGGGTAAATTTCTGAGGATCATTCACTTGATAAGGAAAATTAGTTATTTCTGCGACACACAACATTTAAAAATAATAACTTGAGAATGAAGTTATTAAACTTCTGTAAACGTCATACAATTTGTGGAATAAATGAATTAGTAACATATACCCATACACATATAACCTAAGAAGTTTTATAACTTATTTGATAATGCTTCTCCTAAAGTTTAAATAATCAAATAAGCCTGAAAAAATAGTGTCATTAGTTTACAAGAAGAGGAAAATATTTTTCTAGGGGCTCCCTGATAGCCTAAAATTTAGTTTAGATTTTTAAACTAACTTAAGGTCAGATTACTCCAAGTATAACTTTATTTTGGGAAGCTGTCTTCATGTCAAAAGATTTGATGACTTATCTAAATAGGATCACAAAAAAATGTGAAACTTTATTTGGGTATACATTTAACCAAAGAAAATTAAGAGAATTCAAAGAGCATGCTACTAAATAATGAATGGGTCAGACAAGAAATCAAATAAGAAATAAAAAATACATGGAGACAAATTAAAATGAATTAAAATTGGTCCAAAATTATTTGAGTGCAGCAAAAGCATTTCTAAGAGAGAATATTATAGCAATACAGGTCTGCTTCAAGAAACAAGAAAAATCTCAACAGGTGGAATTTAAGAAATGAAACAAATGAGCAAAGGACAAAAAAAAAAGACAGAGGAAAACCAAAAACAGATTCTTAACTACAGAAAACAAACTGGTGGTTATCAGAGGGGAGGTGGGCAGGGTATGGGTGAAACAGGTGTTGGAGATGAAAGATTGCATTGTCCTCATGAGACCTGATTGAGTATAGAATTTTTGAATCACTATATTGTACACCTGAAACTAATATAATGTATGTTAATCATACTAGAATTAAAATTAAATAAAGTTCATTGTAAAAAAGATTTCAAAGGTAAATACAGAAAGTTTAACAGTTCTGAAATTTTCATTCTTCTATTATTGAAAAGACTCAGTTTTCCAATTTAAGTAATTGAAAACATGATAAAGACAACATGAACCACAGGAAACTATTACTTTTTCATTAATTTTTAAATTTAAATTCCTGTTAGTTAACATACAGTGTAATATTAGCTATAGTAATATAATTTTGTCATTCATCACTTGCATAGAATACACAGTGCTCATCACAAGTGCCTTCCTTAATATTCATCAAGCATGTAATTCATCTTCATGCCCACTTCACCTCCAACAGTCCTCAGTTTGTTCTTTATAGTTAAGAGTCCATTTTATAGTTTGCCTGTCTCATTTCCCCCCATATTCATCTGTTTTGTTTCTTAAGTTCCATTTATGAGTGAATTCATGTGGTATTTGTCTTTCTCTGACTTATTTCACTTATCATGATACACTCTAGCTCCATCCATATCATTGCAAATAGCAGGATTGTATTATTTTTAAGGATTAGTAATATTCCATTGTGTGT